AAGTTTACCATCATCACATAAGCACCAACAGGACAACCAAAAATTTCAAATTCAAATAATCAGTAGGAGATCCAAAACCATACCTCAACTGGAGTCTTCAAGAAAACTAATTGCAGATGATGGAGACCAACAAACCAAATAGCAGTGGCAAACAAATCCAACCAAATGTACATAAACCAAACAAAGTTAGAAAGCATATAATTTGCCTTCTACAAGAGGGTTCCACACAAATGTTCTGCAGTGCATGTGGTGTATCCAAAATAGTGTGGTGCCTCACTATCCAAACTTGCAGAACTCAACAAATTGGCCCTCACAAACTCCTCCAATGTTTCCATCAACTTGCTCCAAAGGCAACTAGTGGGAGTGAAAAAAAACTTCTCTATCGTTGAAAAAATGCCAAAGAGAAGAAAACTTAGCCTTAGCCTTTTTCCCTTTTCTTTCAGCCAACAACATCATTTGCCATCATGATGTCCTTCTGCCAAAACAAATGCCGAAAGAAAAAGAACCAACATTTTCTTTTCAATTTTCAACTGCTTCTACCTTTTCTCCTTCCCACTCAACTCGTCGACAACATCCCACAAACACCTCCGGTGCAGCGATGACCAACGGAGAACCCACCAAAAGCAGTACACTACACCTCCATCTCCAATTGACCAAATGCCAAAGTCATTCCTCCTGTCGAATTTTTTCAAAAAAACATATTTCACCGTCATTCGAATATTTCATAGACATACTAGTACAAAGCCTCCAAGTCGAAACCCAGAGCTCTGATACCACTTGTTGTGCGGAAGCGTCAAATATGAAACCAATAAGCTACAACGGCAAAATATGACAAGACAAATAATCCAAAAGACACAAGGATTTATACTGGTTCGGCATAAGCCTACATCCAGTTCCGAAACGGCGAGGAAATTCCACTAATATCAAAAGGAGATTACAAATAGAGTTTTAACTCTCAAACCCAAATCTCACATACAACCAATAGCTCTCACTCAAACTAAGAAACAAATGGAGAAGAAGAAACACATATCAAAATCCTTCTCTCCCAAAAGCTACACAAGTAGCACCAACATCTTTGATTGAGTGATTACTAACAAAATGGGATTATTACAAATGGTGGGAATGAGCAGCTCATATTCAAATGGGAGAACCGAATGCTCTCCCTGGTTTCTCTCATCTGCCGCTCCCCACACTTTTCTTATCTTGGCTTCTCCTCAAACATATAGCAGCTGCTGCTGCCTTTGAAAATACCAAAAGAAAAGCTCTTTTGTCAAGTTGCAAAGGAAGGAGCCGAATAAACCAATAAAAAATCCAAAGTAAAGGAATAATCATTCCTTTACAAACATCATCATGACCTTCCTTTTTCTTTTCAACAAACATCATCATTGTGTTTTTAGTCATGATGATGTCCACCAAACTTTTCTTTGTTTAATAGTCGAAAGGAGAGTTGGCTTGTTGTCCACTTGGCCACTAATTTGGCCACTATCCAACATCATGGTCCGGAAGTTCGTTCAACCAAATCAGTCTTTCGTGATATCCATAGAGGGCGCAACGGCTTTTTCAATAAAGAAGCAAGGGAGGCAACGTCAGCTCCGCTAGCTACTAACCGTTGGGTCCATTTGTCTAATCGATCCTCGATAGAAGCCTTCTCTTTTTTCTGAAAGCCAAAGAGGAAGATGCAAGGAACAATCCCAATCCAAATTGATCTGTCCATTATCTTCAGAATGTTCACCAGAAGTACTTAACTCCTGTTCAAAAGCAAGTAAATTTTAAGAATAAAGGGTCAATATTTTGAAAACTATAAAATTTGGGCAAAGATGGTAAAACATCGGAAGTGCTCAAAGAAACAAAGCAAGCAAACTGACCCAATTAAGGGCATGTTTGGTACTACTTCGGAAATGGCCAAGTGCAGTTTTAGACAACAAAAACTGCTTAAGACACAGTATGACAGAATGCGTCTTAAATGCACTTTTTAGTTTTATTAGTTGCTTCTTCGGGAAGCACTTCCAATGCTTTTTCAAGTATATTTAAAAACTTCAACATGTAAAACACTTCTAAACATATGTGCTTCCTTCAAAAGCCGTCCCAAACATGTTTATCACACTACAATCCAACTAGGACAAGATAAACTCACAAAACACATCAAATTCTCTAACTGTCTAGACTAATGCATAATTCAAAACTACACCAAATTACTACATTTTTTCTCTTTGTTTTCAATTTCAACTCACCCCATCATTGAACAAATCACTCTGACGATCTTTCTTCAAACCTTATAAATCGCCCGATTCAAAACACATGTCCAAATCGGTATCGTCTTCGACACGCTGTCTGGAAATCGCTTCCCCTTCCGAGTCGCATCCACAATCAAGCACCCTATTTTCTGTCCTACCCAGTTCAAACAAAAAAAATTAAAAAATTAAAAAACTAAGAGAAAGTAAACAAAGGGGGGTGTATTAAATGGAGGTGAATTGTCTGCCTTTTCATTTTCATACTCTTCTCATCATCTTCTGTTTGTGTGGTTACGTTAAGTCACGTCAGCATTTTATATTCTTATTATTTTTATAAAAAAATGTTTTATTATTTTTATAAAAAAATCAATATAAAATATTTACGTGACTTAATCGTGACCACATAAAAATAGAAATGGAAAGGCAGACAATCCACCTCTGTATTCAATTGAGAATTTGAGAGATTTTAATAAATTTATAAATCCATAGATTTTTACGGAGTTTAATTGATTTGTAGATATTCTATGTAAAATTTTGATTCAATTCTCTTGAAATCTCATGAGAAGATGTGAGATTTGTGAGTGTTTAAAATACACTACAAAATATCTCCAATTCTCTCTAATTTCTCAACTTTTCCAAATTCTCTCAATTCTAATTCTAATTGAATACAATTGGAATGTTATAAACTTCTCTAAAATTCTAATTGAATATTTCCGGATTTCTATGAATTTTAATAAACTATCTTAAATTATTGATTGAATACACATTGAATTTCAAAGAATCCCTTAAAATCCTGATTGAATACCTCTCAATTCATTAAAAGAATTAAAAAAATCATTTAAAATCCCGAATACAACCCCTAAAAAATATTGAACGTGGGGAGGTGCAAGGAGCTACGGTGCACGTTACCGGCAAGTTGGGCGACGTGGAGGTTGAGGCGGGACTCGGGAGGTGTTGAAGGGCCAGTTGTTTGTGTGGCCGTCGGTGGATTTGAAGTAACAGGTGGAGTGGAAGTTGGCAGTAGGAGAATACCAGAGGCCGAAGCGGAGGTTGGCGAGGAGAGGGAGGTCCGACCAGAGATGGGAGATTTCGCCGACAAAGATTGAGTCGTCGTAGATTGATTTAAGAGCGTTGAAAAGGGTATTCTGCCGTCGTTTTATTGTCCTCGCCGCCCTGCATATGCGAAGCTGTTTTGTGCTGTTGTCGTCTTCCATTGAAATCGGAATTTGGAGTTCAGGCCCTTCTGGGAGACTCTGTTTCTTAATTTCGTCGAAAATAGCGGCGGCGGTTGGGAGTTATGAGAGTTAGAACTGCAGTGTGGCTGAGGCAGAGGCGATTGCGATCCGTCATGGCTGTGAGATGGGTGTTGCTATGGGGTTCAATTTTGTTGTGATTGAATCTGATTCCCAGGATTCTATTTCTTGCCTTAAGGGTAAGATTTCAAATGGCAGGTGTGAGGCTTTTCCAGTGTTGACGAAGTGTAAACTGCTTGAAGATTCCTTTCAAGACTGTCGCTGGTCTTGGACTCCAAGATCAGCCAATACGACGGCGGATTGTTTAGCGTCGCGAAGAAATAGGAAGATGTGTGATTTTACTTGGGTCGATAGGCCGTCATCTTCTTTGGTTCATGTATTATGTAATGATGGACTTCCTTGTCCTCTTTGAGTTAGCTGTGGTAATCGGAGGGGTGACGCTTGTTGTTTGTTGGTTGCGTCAGATTCCTTCAACACCTTGCATTACCCGGGTTCCTCTGTTGTTTGCCTCTAGGTAGGCTTCTCTTGTTCCTTTGGCATCTTTGCCCTGGTTTTAATCGGATCCAGTTTCTCAAAAAAAAAAAAAAATTAATGAGGAGTAGGATTCCTCCCTTCTTTTTTTCCTTCACTTCCCTTCATTTACCTCCTATTTGAACCGTTATAGTTATGTTATGTTAATATTTTATATTAATTTTTTATAGAAAGAGAAAGACAAAATAAAAAATGTGAAAGAAGAAGATGGAAGAGAATGCAAAGAGAAAGGAAGAGGATCTTAATCCAATTAATGATTGATGTACAAATGATATTAGTTCGAGATTATACTGTAGAATCTAACACAACACAACACAATGTGACATAACGCAATTTGAGCGTGCTTTGGTTATTTGCAACCACGCCATGTCTTACAGATTAACATGATTAGTACTCAAGTACGTTCACGTCAAAATTATCCTATATTTAACAAACATGGATTGTACTAAAAAAACAAAAACAAACAAACATGAATGTAGCTGCCTACAGCAATATAAGTTTGAATAATTTTTTTCTAGAATATCGCTAAAAAGAAATATAATCATTACTTAATTAAAAATAAAGAATTTATTACAAATTTCAAGAATCTCTGATAATTCACACAACTTGAATGTTGTATTTTTTCCATATGAAGTTAAAAAGAAATACAAGCCTAATCAAATAAGTAAACGTAATTGAATAAGCAAACCTAATTCCTCGAAGACAAGAAAACTTAGACCTTAATAAAATAACATAAAACAAAATATCAGTCCTCCTATAGTTTTCAATCCTTGACATGACAACTGATAAATTAAGGGAGATAAATAATGAAATCATTATAGTTCCACCTTTTTTCAAGTATTAGATTACTAATTTTAACTTTAACTAGCAGACACATATCTATTTTTGCTCTCGCATATGCTGGCAAGTGCGAGATATCAGGCATCAAATTTTCTTATATATTCTTAAAAGGAAGGAAGAAAGAAATGATGGAGAAGAACGAGCGTTTCAACTTGAAATTCCCACATCCAATATGCAGTTTTTTGTTAAGCATAAGTACAATAGCAAGATTAGAGTCAATCCATAGTAGCAAACTTTAGATATTAATTGCTATCCCAACCTCCATCAAATATCCAACACTAATTAACGAATCACTGATGGCTTTTAAGCATATTGGTTTCTACTTTTGGCAGCATTCTTGAGTACTCCTGTTTTGACAGATGAGGCTGGATTGATGGCCTTTCTAATTTTGAAGATGTTCCAAGCAGTGTTAGCAATATGCCCTGTTGTTGCAAACACATCCTCGGTTGTCTCCCCTGCACTCTCCCCAAACCTGCAGTTTCTCAACATTAATAGCAATTCAACTAACATGCAAGAATCAACTGTGTATATATATATAGTAACGGGAAACATGTACAAGTAGAACTGGTTATTATCTTTTAATAAAAAATAGAATCAGAAATACACTATTCAGACTGTAAGTCGTATATAAGCACAATTTATAGTGCTTTGTCATGTAGGATAGTGTCTCTCCAGTTCTATTTTTTATTAAAAGTTTGTAACGGGTACATGTTCTAATAATCGAAACTCTTCAAATGTAAAGTCTAACATTTTGCGTTCATGTTTATATAATTGGCCATTATTACCTGTTGCTGACCATTCTAGTTGCAGCACCTGAGGTGGCAGAAAGAGCTTGTTTCTCAGCAACTTCAGCTGCATCCAAAATCTTATCTGCAGTTTGCAGGATGAACCATATTTCAATATGTAGATTCTTATATAGCCTTGGCAATGTGAAGAGAATTTTCAACTATGCATTCAAATGACGGCTAGATTTATATGTTTTAGATGAAAGAAATCATCATATATGACGGTCTACTAAATCCTAAAACGCAATGTATTGCAGAATTTTCGACGTGAAGAATGTATGAATTTGAACTTACTGATGCCATCAAGTGAAGCCAAGAGGACCTCTCCCGGAACCATGGCAAAGAATGCCTTCCCTGCTTGGGAATTAACCACCGGACCCATCACCGATCCGGTCACAATACCAACCCCATCAAGCATAGATTTGCTCAGCTCTGATGTCATCTTTGACAAATTTTTCACACTGAATCATGGCAACACAAAAGATCCATTCACTTGAGAACTTTTCAATACACGCTCACAAAATAATGCAAGGAAAATGTGTTTAACCGTTTTAAGTTCACGTTGATTCCATTCTTCTTTTTCGCAGCAGACCTTTCGCTGCTATTACTTCCTTGTTCTTTGACATAACTTTTCCCCTCCACGGGACGAGCCAATGTCGTTTCCCCTCCTTTTTGGACCTGTTTTCTTCTCCCATCATACAAATTATTGTTAGATCTTCAAAAGAAATCAACCCAGATGATGTTTCTTATACATTTTACCATGTATTTAACAAATTGCGGAAATATTGAGATGAAACTGATCATTTGAGAAAAGAATAAAAAAAGATTTCATTGATTCATTTTGTTAGATAATCATTAGACCCCAAAGCTAGATTAAGTTGTCACAGAATAAGCTAACATGTATCAAGCATACACCGTCCCAGACATACATGCAAACCATATAAGTGTTGCAACAATGTATGTCAAACTTAAACACTCCCTCAATCATGATTAAGAAACAAGTGAATGAACGGGCTGAAAGAATGGGGAGGGTTCAAGGCATATTTTTACAGTTTCGCACGTTGTGCAGTTCCTCAATTTGTAAAATCTATGACCATTGAAACTTTGTAAAATTGGGATTATAACTTGGGTTACACGTCGTACTGTTTTCAAGGTAAAAAGAATTATTGGCTTGGCCAAATTGACTAGAGTGGCTTGCTTTCCATAAAAAGCAAAGTTTGAATTCTTGGCTCCTAAATTTTGGATGAGGGAAATAAACTTGAAATTTAGAAAAAAAAAAGTTATAATTTATAAATTGACATGCATAAATTCCCTTTTGGATTCATAAAGGTAGAAATTTAAAAATTTTGCCTAAAAAAAAAAAAACTTGAAATTTTTAGGACATCCAATTCCTATGTTTAGATTATTGTTAATAGTGTCATTTCAAAATTTTCAGAGAGTTTAAAAATAAAAATAAAAATACAACAAAACTCAAATATGAGTGGCCACCTCCACCACCCACCATCATCCTCACCATAGCGGTTGCCGCCGCACGCCACCACATATCGTTATCGCCCCCGCCGTTGACACCCACCTTCATCACTACTGCCACTATCATCCACCATTATCACCGTCGTTGCCACCACCATTACTAGCACATTTCCTAACTATTATCACTCATTTACATACTAATGACACTATACACACATTAAATTTTATATTTAAATTTCATTGTTTTTTTAAGTTAATCAAAAAAGAAAATTCACGAATTCTAAAAATAAAATTCCATCATTTTAAAATTTCTTAGCAGCCTTAAATTTTCTCATTCAAAAAATATTGTGTAAAATACTAAAATTATTTCACTTGTTGAAAAAAAAAAAAAAAAACCTGATTGGTGTAAGCATTGCTACACATAAAGATTCCCCTCACAATCTGACCAGTCCCTCCTGCAATTGCTTTGGCCAACACATTATTATAATCTTCAATCCTTGGAGCATACTCCTTCCAATCAACCCCCTTATTATTATTCTTGGTCGATGTGGTACTAAAGCAAGAGTGTTCTTTCAAATACGAGTCCAGAAACCCCAAGTTACTTTCGTATTGGTCGGGAAATGTCACGCCGTAGCTCAGAGGATCGCCGTCTTTCATGGGGAGGGAGAAGAGATAGTGCAAAGCGTCGAGCTTCACAACCGGCTCGTCATTTGTCAACGGCCACTGAATTTCTTCGCCGACTTTGATTATGGTGGCGAGCGAGACGTTGTTTTCCAAGATGTTTTCGAGGACGAAGTCGCCGTTTGCGAGCTCTAGGGTTTCTCCTTCGTCCATGAGGTGGACTTTGCATCCTGGGATTCGGAAGAGGACTTGCTGCTGGAGGTTTTTGGGTTGTTGGTATTGCTGAGTAGGGTTCTGGGTTTGGTACTGCGGCGGAGGTGAGGTGGGAGGGGAGGTTTTGGGCTTAGGACTGCGTGACCGACTGAAGCAACCCATTTCTATGCCGGGAAGGAAATTGTCTGTATTTGTTTCACCGAGGGCTTGGAAAGAAGATGATCGGGAAAAGGTAATGGGTTAAGAGGAAAAGTTGTAGGCGGATTTGATGCCTTGTCATCCTCCAAATTCTCCACTGAAAGCCACACGCATTAATTACATTAACCCCAAAGAATCAGAATAAAGTTGTGTGAGGCTTTCAGTGGAGAATTTGGAGGATGACAACTGTCTGCATGATGCTGGATAATCAGTATAAAAGTACAGACACATTGCATTTTCCAAAGAAAGTCTGAAGTGTGAACCCAAGTGAGAAATGCTATGGAGATTTTCAACAAAAGAAGACTTATTATTCGCTTTCTAATGTCTTATAATTTAACGTCAATTTTCTTATTAACATTATAAAACATTAGTTAAAAACTTGAACTAGCAAATAGTTCATAAAAAGTCTCATTTTTTAGGGTCTTCTTAGTATTTGTTTTATCTAATATAATCGATATTCGAATGCTGACAACCTTCTCAATATCTTTTCATTTTAACTTTGCACTTTTTTTTTATACCACGCGTACTCCACTAGCACTCAAAACTAAAATTTTAATTATATTAACATCTCACTATTTTTTTTTTTTTTTGTTAGTATGATTACAATTTGAGTTTGTCAACCAAACAGTAATTATTTTTTTTGTTTTGCATGCTAATAGAATGCATGTGACATGAGTAGAAGTGAGAATGATGAAATGAGAAGGTAAGTGAGAACGTTATTAGCATTTCTCTTATCGGCATACTTAGTAACTGAGTTTATTGTAATGATGGTGTCACTTTGGACAAAATATTGTCATGTGCAAGTTTTCATCACATGACATTATATTAATATATTAAAATATCAAATTCACTTGATTTTGTAGTCTCATCTTCTGCCAAGTAGTTTATTGTATTAGTTGATATGCAAATTCTCATGTATAAACCCTAATAGTGCGTATTAAGTGTAGGTGCGGATGTGAGTGACTAGCCAACCGACTCTTCCACCATTCAGTTCATTTGACACTAAAATTCTCTCTTATGGATCATAATGGTGCATATAATAGGCTATATCTTAGTTGATGTTTTAATATGATTAGATTTTCATTTATCAGACTTACGTTGTGAGATATCAATGATTGAAATTCATAATATGACAACATAACATAACTTATATATGTAAAACTTGCAGTTGCTAGTAACTTTCGTTCTCTACCCAAATGGAATGGTCAAATATCCTCGTTCAAAACTTCCATCTCATGTACAGAAAACTTCTCTCTTGCCTGGGCCCATTTAGGCCCATTAGGCCCAAATCTTTACGGCCTACACCCTAAACCAACACAGACTGCATTGAGAATTTGAGAGACTTTAATGAATTTTTATGGAGTTTAATTGATTTGTAGATATTCCATATAAAATTTTGATTTAATTCCCTTGAAATCTCATAGGAAGATGTGAGATTTGTAGATGCTTAAAATACACTACAAAATCTTTCTAATTCTCTCTAATTCCTCCACTTTTTCAAATTTTTAAAATCAATTTCTAATTGAATACACCTGCAATGTTATAAACTTCTTTAAAATCCTAATTGAATACACCCGGATTTCTAAGGATTTTAATAAATTATCTTAAAATTCTAATTGAATACACCTTAAATTTCAAATAATCACTTAAAATCTTGATTAAATACCTCTAAATTCTTTAAAAGAATTAAAATCCCTTCAAATTCCAATTGAATGCAGTTATAGACAGTTCTCCCTCTTAACTTCTCCAATGCCGAAATCCGCCATCCATGTCTCAGTCGCCATCGCCGGAAAATCCACTCCAATCTGCAGGTCTCTCTCTCTCTCTCTCTCTCTCTGCATCAAAATCTAGGATCTCTAAAAGCCTGGGAAATTCCAAATACATTCTGTTAACTCGTACTTACCCAGTCTGTCTTTCGAGTCACTTGTACTCACTTAGAAACCTAGCAAACTGCTTGATTGCAAAAAAATGTCAAATCAAACAATGCCTGTCGTATCCGACCGTCTGTGTTTGTCTAACTTAATTGAACAAAAACTTGAGATTATGTGACATTTACCACATTTTCTTATCTGTTTTCATTGCTTGGTTTTAGGATTTCGACTCGGCGGTGTAAAGAGCTCAACTTTGAGATATGATGATCGCCGCAGCGGTGCTGGTGGCGGTTATCCTTCTGGTAGCTTTCTTTGTGATCCCACGAGGCCCAAAATATGGTACTTTCTTCTTCTTCCTTAAATCTTTCCTGGTTATTAAAATTGGCACATTCTTTGCATTTGCAAGGTTGTAGCAATGATGCTCCTGACATTTGCTTGTTATCTATACTTTTCGTGTTCTAGGCCGCAGCATACTACCCGAGTCTTTGACATGATCGACGACTTCGTATCGGGGATCTGGTGCTGTGACCAACTTCGAGTCATTACTTTGAGATTCCATTCTTCTCTTTGCATTTTCTTTTCATGCAACACTGCTGTATCTGTAAGAAAGCCCTTCAAAACTCGTATTTCATAGGAAAAAAACACTTATATTTTGCACTCCGATTCAAACTCGCAAAGTCTTTCACTAAAGATGCAAATGAAGAGGAGGAGCCAACGGTGCAACACTGGAGATGGAATCAAATCTCTACTTGCTATCCTTTAAATCTCAAATGTATAAGAATTTAAATTACATAACTAAAAACAAAAAGGTGCAGATTACAAATCAACCGAGGCAGGTAGGGTTTGAGGCTGAAGAATCAAATGGATTGAAGGGGTATCGAAAAAATGAGACAAAAATTTCTAAAAACACTTCAATAAATCAATAATTGAATGGCCAACTAATCTAACCCCAACATATTTTTTACTTCTAACAATCTCGTCGCCCATCCGATCTTGAAACGCTGGGCAAACCAATCAAAAGGTGTTTTCTCCAATCGCATTCACTAGATATCGTATTTCTTCGGCTGGCGCCATTGTGCCAAACTTCTGGCCAAAGAGCTCAGGAATGACAATTTCGGAGGAGCTCCTTTCTTCCCTAAATGCTTTCCTCCCAAATCCGTATATACTGGACCCATATCCTTGCTTCGTTCGATCTTCAGTGAAAATATACAAAATATTTCAGAAAATATAGCTCAGAAGTTGTAATGTTCTTAAAGCTATAAGCAGAAAGGCCTTAGACAGCATACCTTGAATATCTTCCCATCCTTTAAGTGATATCGAATACCAGACCAATTTATCGACTGAGAGAAATGAGAACGGAAGGCAGAGACGGGGTACAAAAAATTATCTACAATGAGTGCAATAAATACCTGCCAAATAAAAAAACAGTACATGAACATTAGAGAATACTCAGTAGCCATCATCAAGGCGCCCCAGAGCTCCAACTAGATATGGAGTTTGGATTTTCATACATAAAAAGATAGAGCTCACGAAACCCTGATTTTTCTATGGTACTTTGATATAAACCTTCGATCAGGATATTTTGGTACGTATAATATACAGCATTCAAGATACAGGCAATGAGTTTCAAGGGTATAGAGATGGACACTTACAAGGCTCCAGTTGTAAGTAGCAAGTGAGAGTTTATTCGCCTCCGGTGATAACATGTTGCATAGATGAACTTCTATCCTGGTCAAGTTCCACATCGAAAGAAGTTCGATAATTGTGCATGTCGCTAGGCAGCCTACCAGTTTCAATCCTGAGAAAGGGTGGATGAACGTTTAAGAGCATAAAAATAAGCGTCAAATTAATGGCGAAAAGAGAAAACTAGAGTGCTCACCACGAAAAGTGAAGGTTGTTTCCTCGATTGAATACCCCTTAATATACATTCGTAGGGCTGCGGTGATATGAATAATGGCCATTAAGAATGGTGCTACAAATCCCCATGAGAGATAGCAGTGGACGGTAAACAATGCACGGTTCATAATCCAGTTAACTGTTGTTGTATATGATTCCAACACAAATGTCTGCTTCCTCAAGTAATTCCAATACCTACAGGACAAGTCAAAAGATGTAAGCATGAAGTATGACTGCATTTTTTTTGTTTTTTTGAGAAAACAAGTGTACATTACAAACCTTGGAAAAGTAAGATCACTTGCAAGCGGATGGGGGAAAACGGCAACTGGAGGTGATGTGATGAGCCTTTTATGAGCACCTGGAAAAGGTCAATAACATCAGCAACAATACATAGCCACTTTAAACCACACTGAACCAAATCATGCAAAAATCCTTGATGTAATGTCTCCCTTCCCTTGTAAACATATCCCCCCAAAGACGATTAAAAAACACGAAAAAAAAAAAACAATGGGAGAGCACTAATTTAACACTCGAACAGCCAAAAGAAACGGTATGCACAAGACATGGTATAAGTTTGCAGGACAGTTATATCAGATTGACAAGATGAATGGGTATATTACCGGCTATAGCTGCAAGAGTCATATCATCAGAGTAACCACCATTTTTAAGTCCTGTGACCACTCCATAGCGGTTGAGTCTAAAATCATCTGCATGCATCTGCATAGAATTTAAAACAGTTAAAACAGCAAGAAATTTAAAACAACTAAAGCAGCATGACGATTTAGTGCACGCAGGACTTATATAAGGTTACTACCATCATGCATCCTCCCCACAGAAAGAATGTCCTTCCACCAGTAGCAAAGCCCATTGAGCAAGGCTGTACAAAACAAATTGCATATGACTAGGAGTCAGACTTCAATTAACATATAGGAGGAAGCTTCAGATAAAATACAAGAAATAACCACTAATATTATATACACGTGCATTTTGAAGAACAAGTGGGTACCATATGGTATTCATAAATGCAGTAACTCCCTAAGCTTCCCGAAGGCAAATCAAGGGGGTATCCGGTTTGGATAAATATCTGCACATTATTTAAAACAGAATTAACACCATAACAGAACCCACAGCTAACATACCACATATAAAATAGGATCAACGTACAAAAATCTTACATCAGGATTTTTCTCCATCTCCGTGGTTAGGGCTCCAATCGATCCAGGGTGAAGCCTAACATCGTCATCCAAAAACAATACATACTTGCTGGCCTTGTGCATTTTCTCCACTCCAATCTGCAAAAAGACATTTCGATCTAGTAATTGATATAATTAGTCACTACAGAATGTCATGCTTTAAAGTTCAAACCATGTATGCAAAAAGATTTAAACAGAGTAGGCCACAAGGCTAAAGCTCATATTTCCATATATAATTCTAAGTGCAGCTTTCCTTTGCCTTTTATTCTACATGAATCCTCAAAAGAAACCTTACACAACAATGAGTCTGATGCCTTAGATAGTGTAGACATATACCCTACACTACTAAGACTTAGTAATAAGTTTATATTCCTGTATTCCATAAAGAAAAGAACCTTGTCATAAAGAACAATTATAGGTACATAATGATTTGATAAGATAACACATAAACCGTGTAAGACCTTGCTATTGCACCAGCACAGTAGCAAACCGTAAATTATTTTAATCAGGTACATACCAATTGGTTGTGAATTTTCTGACTACAGGTTGTTGAAATACCAGCCACAACAATCTTAGCATCAACCTCATCCTGCAAGGAAATGAAGTTAAACTTAAAACATATCATTCTGGGCACACATGCAACCATAAAAATGTTACCATTAAACTTATGCTTCCAAGCATATATTATATAACTTGTCCTGGATGTTCTTATATTAAAGAAACCATGATTATTGTTGCATATACCTTAAGCTCTGATAGTAGCATAGATACAGCATGATAAGCAGGGTCTTCTGTGCTTTCCACGATAAACATAAATTCTAAGTGACCACCATAGAGAGAAGTGACCTGCGTTCGTTAATGAAACAAAACAGCTCAGACCATATGGAAAAAAACCTTGGATACAGATTCAACCTATTAAATCAGTTAGCACATGGATTTTGAACACTTCACCAGATAATCTAATCATTTAAAAGGTGTTGATGGTTTCAACAACTCCTTTTTTCCCCAAACAAGAGAATATAAACACACAAGAGCGGACCCTCTAAACCAAAGAAGACTCTTAGCATCCCCATCGAAAGATTTATAATTTTATATGTAAATTTATGTTGTTTTTATTGACAGGCCCAAAGCAAAGTGTCCCTCTAACCTGGGTTCTCCAGTTGTGTAAGTTGTGTTCTCCAAATCCCTTCAAAGGCATAACAACTGTTACTCTTGGCAGTTTGAGCTGATTTGAGTGCTCAAGTTCAGTGATATCATGGCAAAGGAAAGCAAAGCTATTGCCTCGTTGCATACTATCCTTCATCCGATTAATCTCTCTATTCCTGAGGGGGGGAAACAGAACGGGAAGAAAAACATTGAATATCAAGCAAAGAAAGGAAATTTAACATTGAACAAGCAGGGAGGCCATGCTAGTAGTTGATATTACATTGAAGTCGGAATATAAACTCAAGTACCTGACATAAGCCGCACAAGCCCATCCGAAAGCAAGAAGCAAACAGATTAGACATCCCTACAGCGCAAATACGGAAATTTAGACATGCCCACCAAAAGACAATATAGTTTAACTACGTTAATCTAATATCACAGAGATATTGAGCTTCCAAATCTCAGACCCAATAGTGTAATTTGAACTTCTTATGAAGAAAAACTTAATCATTCAACTCGAAAATAACACAAAGAATCGCCTAAGAAAATGCGAACTCGAGGAGAAATGTAAGCCGATTTTTGAAGTGCCAATAACAGCTCCCAATCCCAAAGCAGTCTAAATTTTTCAGTTCAAACCTCATTTTCTGGATTTTTGACTTCTCTCACCCAGAAATCATATATTTGACCTCCATTGTACAACTATAACGAAAATGACTTTTAAGCCAGAAAGCATGAAGCTTTAATTTTAATTTTTTTAATAATCGAAAATAAAAACTGCCGCCATAAATCAAAATTGAAGAATTCAAACTTCGAATCGAAGAATTTCGCAATCCCAGAAGCCGAATTCAAATGCCGGCAAGCAATTCATCCCAGACCCGACCCCAAATAAAAAATTAAAACCCAATGAAAAGAAAATTTTCAAGTGAATTTCTCGGCAACCAAACGGACCCGGATCTGAACGAAACATAAAATGGCGAAAAAAACTCTAAATTTTAAGGAAAAAAACAAACCTGGATCTGAACGAAAACTGCTAGCGGGCTGCAGAACGCTCTGCTGAGAGAAAAGAGGAGCGAATCGAGAGGATCCAATGCAGACATTTTTATTATTACGCTCGTGTAATTGTAATATATATTATAATATACAATTCACGGCAGTCCTTCTCTTTCTTGGTTTCTCTCGGATTGCTTGTTAGAGGGAGGAGGAGATAAAGATTATGGCGAGGAGAGAAGCCGCAGACTTTCCCTCAGATCGCCATGGCCAATGAACAGCGTTGATAATCACGACGGAGATAGGGAGGAGAGAGAGAGAGAGGGAAAAAAGGGGGTTAGAGTGAGAGAGCGCGTAATTTATAATTCGAAGGAGAAGGGGAAATTAGTAATTGGCTCGCTGGCCACACAACACAGCACGCGAGCAGCAACAAG